CTGGTCACAGTGGTCACAATGGTCACACTGACTGATTGAGTGTTGATTTCTTCTTTCCAGGTTCCGTTTATATATGATTTCTCAGATATTCAGTTCGCACCGAAAATTGAAAGCAAATGCTATTTGATGTTGGTTTGGTGCTCTATGATGTACTGTTTATGAGCTTTGTTCAGATACATTCGATGTATTGATACTTTCTATGTGTTTTATGAGAGTATTTTATTCATTACATGTTCTTGCATGCTAGATCTGTTATGAAATCCATGTATCATTATGAATGATACTAAACTCCCTAGTCTTGTGTCGTTATGGGAATAACGACATAATAAGACTAGTATGATGTGTGATTGATGATCACATAGATGATCATAGGTATTGGATACGATCACAATCATAGGTATTCGTTGCAGAACGGAATACTGGACTGACCCGCATGAGATTGTCACATGGACTAGCGTCATGACTTGAATCTCATACGACGATTCTATGATTGGATCCTAAGACCTGAGATATCTACAGAATCCAACATGAGGAGTTGCGTGCTTTGATTACGTCAAACGTCCTGCGTAACAGGAGGACTATAAAGGCGTGTATCAGGTACGAAACGAATCATGTACTGGATTGTAGATAGTCAATACGGGATTTGTACCTCTCGTAAAAGAGAGAGATATCGTTGGGCCCCTCGTGTGAGCAAGACTGTAGAAATGTGTGGCCGCACTATAGACGAACGTCGTCTATTTCAGACAGTCGAACTCAGTGAACGAGAAAGCAGTCGAATCAGATAAGGTGGCTTGTCCATGCCTTATGTTCGACATATGATATCGCGATACAAAAGGATCATCAGTCGGAATCATCACTGGCTTTCGTATGATCACAAACAAACTCTATTCGAGATAGGTAGTCATAGTGTCTTGCTAGAGACCGTCTATGACTTGTATTACCGGAATGGAGATTCTGTGTTTTACTGCTATTCCGGATGAGCCTACAGGGTCACACACAATAGGGATGGACAAGTACGTGTGCTAAATTATCCCGATTAGGAATCCTAATTGGATTGAGATTCCTAATTGGAATAGGAATCCTAATGGGATTAGGAATCCTATTATGTATAGGAATCCTAATGAGATTAGAATTCTATTACATCTAGGAAACCTAATGAGATTAGAATTCTAATAGGTTTAGGAAACCTAATTAGATTAGGATTCCTAGTAATCTATTCCTTGTCAAATTAGGATTTTTGGAAAGTCTATATAAGGAGAATGTCTTCTAGGATTTTAAAATAAGAGAAGAAAAAGAAGAAGAAAAATTAATACAATTTTTCAGTTTAGAATTAGATTCTAAGCTTTGAAAAATAAAACCCTAAGCCTCCAAAACCTAGCACACAAGAGAGATCGAGATCTCTAGTCCTAGCATACAAGTTCCAAGGTGTTGGAATCCATCCCGACGTGTGGATACGTGTAGAGGGCGAGGTATTCTTCCTGCCTAGAGTGATCGGACGAACATATCAATTGATACAGGCCCCGGATCGATTGAGGTAAGCGTACTAACGTTTCTATGATTCAATAGTAGCATGGTTCTAGGGTTTCATTAAAATTTTTGTTTTATATCCGCTGCGCAAACCCTAGAATCGATCTCTTAGGAATTAGATTCGCTCATGAGATCCCAGGAAACCCAACAGCTCCGTCTCGCCATTGAGGTCAGTATCTCTCTTTGAGATCTTTATTATTCGTTTTTGTTTATTATTACATTTATGCACGATGCTTAGTGTTTTCCTATTCTAGGATTAATTAAATTATGAATTTAATTTCCGCTGCGCTTAGATCCTAGAACTAGGTTAGTGTCAGGTTGGGAACCGTGGCACTAGGCCTGGAAAAACCCAACAGTGGTATCAGAGCATGGTTAGCATGTATGTAATGATACTTATAACGATCTGTAGGATTTCAAAGTGGTTTGAAATCTGTTTCCTGATTAGATCTGGACCTAACACCACTTGCACGAAAATGGTTGTGTAACTGTTTAAAATGATATATGACGTAAGAAAATGTTTCTGGATATATCATTGTTATAATGCATGACGTATTGAAATAGTTTAAGAAACTATACACATGAGTGATGTATTGAGTGTAAAACGTTTCTAAATACATCAAAATAAAACTAAACAATAGTTGTTAGAATGTTAAAGAACAATAGTTGTTCTCAAAATTTAAACCCCTCAAATAGTAACGTCTTTGATCGTCAGTGAGCACTTGTTAAACTTTTGATAGTCTGTGTCACGGGACATGCTCTAGCTGTGCGTGCCAGATTATCTTAAGTGAAACAAGATAGAGAAAAGTTTATCTCTTAGCTTGAACACGATTGGATTGAATTTAAGCTTCATACCACCCACTAGTAGAGCACTCGTCAAGGCTTTGATCGTCTATATCACGGGACATACCCTAGTTGTACGTGCTAGATTATCTTAGTGAGGCGAGATGGTGAAATAGTGATTCACATAGCTTGAACATGGATAAGCTTAAAGTTAGGTTATCAAGTCAGACTTGGACCTAGCGGTATGAGATGGGACTAAGAAATATGCAATAGTATGTGGATA